TTCTTAAATATCCGTGAAACCAACATCTCAGAACTCATTTATTTTTTCTCTGATGTTGCTTGAGGGAATCCCATTTGCCAGGGTCAGAGAACTTAAATTCAAATCTTGGCTCTGCTATGTAATACCTCTTTGCTCTTAGAAACGAGATTTAACATCTCTGGGCCTCAGTTTCTCATCTATAAAATGAAGGGCTTGGACTAGATGTCCTCTGAGGTCCCTTCTAGCTCCCAGTCTGTAATGCTATAATGCTTTTCTCTGATTATCTTTCTTAACTTTGTTGTTATGGCAGAACATGTTACAGTAAGGGTCCCTTGTTCCCTGTTGATGCTGCCAACTTGTAGGAATTCTCTTAGCACCTCCTTACTCTTCTGGCACCTGCTAAGAATTGCCTTAGTACTTGAGCCCTACCCTCAACACACAAATATGCGTGTGTATATCACACACACCAACAAGGACTCTTTATCAGGGAGCCCAGGATCCATTCTTTCAGCTGATTGATACTACTTTAACAATTTTAAACTTCCTCCCTCCATACCCTTGCTCATAATTAAACACCAATTTCTTTGGATGGTCATATGGAATCTTCCCCTTCCCTTTCTAGTTACCCAAATGGGAACAAGAAATTTGGGAACCAAAGGATCATCTCCTTAGACTTACAGCCAACTAATCTCCTTCTGCTGCCTGACATATCTTAGATATGATCAAGATATCCTGCCACAGGGGCAGCTAGGTGGTACAGTGGATCAAGCACCAGCCCTGGAGTCAGGAGGACCTGAGTTCAAATGTAGTCTCAGACCAGACACTTGACACTTACTAGCTGTGTGACCCTAGGCAAGTCACTTAACCCCAATTGCCTCACCAAAAAAAAAAATATCCTGCCACAACATGAGATCAGGATCCTGCCATGGAGAACAGGATTTACAGCTATGCTAATTTCATGGAGAATCCTGCTGGTTGTGTTTTGATGTGTTTAAATTCCTTTAATTTAATTTAATTAAAATTCATAGTATTTAAAAGAAAAAAATTCAATTCTATAATATTTCTACCATTTCTTACTACCTTCATATGGTGTTTTTTTGGGGGGGGCTCAATATTATAAGTTGTACTAGTTTTTATAGAGAAGTGTGGGGAACTTACCATAATTTATAGCATATTTTGCTTCTTCAGAAAAAGGATTCCAACACCCAGTCATATGCAAATGAATTTTTGGAACACAGCCCATTTGTATGGTAGGAGTTACCTTGTCACTATGTTAACAGGAATTTGAAGGGTCATGTGACATTTTAAAAAAATGATTTCATCTTAAATACTCAAGAGGATTTCTGATCACCTCAATTTGGGCATTCCATCCAATGATTCAGATAGCAACCTATCCATTCATGTCCATCATATGCAGCTCTTAACCATGTTCTCCCAAAAGTTCATCATATGGAATCCACCCAACTTGTTGGAGATCTTCCTTATTTTCTTTTGAAATTGTGAGGGTGTCATTGAAACACTCTGGCAATCCACTTGTCATCTTTTATATTTGCCGTGGAAACAAATCAAGTTCTCTTCCTTTCATACAATTCTGTAGTTCAGGGGACTTAAGAAGAAAAGTGTCTGTCATCCCTCATAGAGATAGCTTTAGCAAAGTTTATTGCTTCTTTAAAGGAAGGAGAAAAATAGCTGCTACAGTAGGGTCAGTCACAGTGTAGTATCCATGCATTCAGTGGGCAGCACATGAATGGAGAGGATCTGCACTCCTGTCAAAGTCCTCGAGAAGCTCAAGGTTCAACCTTCTACATCATTTTGGACAAAGAACCAGTATGAAATCCGTGGGAGAATGTGTGTTATCTAAAAAGCTGATAAAATGAAGGTGTTTTCTAAATTGCCTTAATAAGGAAGAATAAATGCAGAGAAGAGAGGGAATAAGAAAATAAGTTTATTTCAACAGTACTATTTCAGTAATAGGATGAAAATGGGGGACTGAAATTGTATCAGTCTAATCATATTGCATCAGCTAACAAATTATTTGATGACTTCTTTTACTCCTATTCTTTAGAGTTCTTCATTGACTAGATGTTGTATTATATATGTTCTGTGTATTATATGTTCATACCTGGGGGCCATCTCCAGTCATCTTGATCTATGTCTTGCCACTGGATCCAGATTGCTCCAGAAAAGAAAGTGAGGCTGGTGACTTTGCATAGCCCTCTCTCACTTAAATCCAATTTACTTGCAAGTCATGGTGTCATCTTCCTGATGTCATTGTCCTCTTCAAGAATGAAGGACAAACAATAATGTTCATACCTACCTTGCAGCCCTCAATTGCCCTCTGTGTGATTAATTCTTTGGGAGGCAGTACTATTCTTTTTGTTGCCATATAAAAACATTGATAAAATATTAATATTGAAAAGACTGTTCTTTGCTTTCATGGGAAACTTGGGCAATTTTTCTAATACAATCCAGATGGTTCTCCTTTTTAACTTTGGGCCCAGAATATTTTCTATTTATACTGTCTGTTCCAGTTATGGATATGTTTGAACATGCTCTATATGGTTTCCATTTGAATGCCTGCCATGTTGAAATCTGGGCAATAGACATCATTCATCCACTTTGTCTTTCCTGTGTGGTTGGACAGCCTAGATTACTTTGATTATAGATCTCTTCCAGGAGGATATGTAATGTCTGGGGACTTGATATAATCAGAATAATGTCACCTACAAATCAGAACACCTAAGGGATATCCTTATAATATCCCTTATAATATCTTCTTTGATTTGGATGCTTCACTGTATCTCTTTCATCACAGTGGAGAAAACCTTTGGCAAAAGTGTCTCTGTTTTATGATATGCCTGATGTTTATTATCAGAGTGTCCCTGCTCCTGCTAGAGCTCTTCCTCACCATGGGACTATGATCCTGAACCATGTATGGGCAATGCAATAGAGTCTTGTGCCCAGTGCCAGCAAAGGGTCTCTTTCTGATCATTTGTCTGGCGTCCCTACCATCTGTGGGTTGAGAGCTGCAGAACCGCTGCCACTACCAATTCAGTTGCTTCCAAGGGTATAGCTAGCTTGCTGTGGCTTGGTACACATCTGACTGCTAAACTCTCATCCCAGTGAGACAAACTTTCTTGCCAACGTTCTAAGTTGTCTTGGGCTGGAAAATTGTTTCATTTTATCGTTTTCTTGGTTCTACCACTCCAGAATTCATTTTGAGACATTATTTTAAAAGTTGTTTGGAGGAGAATTTGGGAGAGCTCAGGCGAGTCCCTGCCTTTACACAATCATCTTGGCTCCCAAATTACTCAGTCTTATTTAAACTTATGGATAAAATTATTATGGACAATTTCTCTTGTCCTTTTCTTATTTTTACTTCATTTAAATAATTTAGGGTTGCATTATTTTAATTGAACAGCATTTCTTCTTCCCATTGTTATTCTTAATTTTGGTTTTTACAAATTCTTATAATCACTATAATGAGTTTTGATCTACTGTATACTGATTCAGGGATAAATCCTACAGCAATTAAGTTGTTATCTATCAAATACTCAATTTTTTTTCTTTGTTCAGCATATACCAGTTCTATTCGTGAAGAAATATCTATAGATGGATGAGATTTTTGTATACTCTATAAGTTTTGGTCTTTTTCATATCTTTTTTCCTGAATAATCCTTTTGCATCTCACCTTTCTCACCATTCTCACATTTTCCCATCTGTTATCTATCATACTTGTCATTCTCATATACTTACTAGCTGCTTGTCTCTGAGTCACTTAACCTGTCTGCCTCAGTTTCTTCATCTATAAAATGGAAATAATAACAGTACCTACCTCACCAGATTGTTGTGAAGATGACATAAGATATTTGTAAAATGATTTGCAAACTTTAATGTTCTATTATTATTAGCTGCTAATAAGTCAGCAAGTATCAGAGTATGGTCTTTTAATAGGAATCTCTCAAATTTTTCATAGAATTCCTCTACCACTTTGGCCTCCACAATGAACATTGTTGCATAAGCTGCAATTATTTTCATGTTTTTTTTTTTTGCAAATATTCATCATTGGTATTGCAATATGTGATAACCAGATGTCTTATTAAATAATATTGCTTTGTACTCTTTGAACATATAATAAAACCCAATGCATTGATTTTGTTGTTTTGTCTCAAGAAAATACTTGTAAGCCATCATTCTATGAAGCTACATGTTATTAATTTCTTCTAATTTCATTCATAGCAAGAATGTCAATATTGACATGATTCACATCCTCTAGGAATATGTACACTTGTTGGCCTTTTGATAAGCATATCACATGGAAAGTAAGAACAATTTGATTAATCAAAATTAAAGTTATTTGATAGTATAAAAATTGTATAATTCTTAGCACCTTACACTTGTCTTCCCATCATTCTGCCACCATCATTACAAAATCAGAAAAGGGCCACACAAGATTTAGGGTTTTTTTCATTGTTTCATGTTTTGCATGGTTAAAAAAAAGTTATCACTCAGTGGTGAGGTTATAGTTGAGCTGCATCTCTGAAAATAATGAGGATGGTCTAGTTGACTGACTTAGACTATAGAATCAAAATCTGCCAAATATGGTATTCTAAAAATAAAATAAAAATAAATGTTTTAAAGTTTACAAAGCACTTTAGACACACTCCCCTACACACCAACCTAATTTGATTTTTATAATAATCCTGTGGTATTATTATTAGTAGTAGTATTCCTTTTTTACAGATGAGGAAACTGAAGCTTAGAGAATTTAAATGACTTACTTAGCATCACACAGCTAGTGTCTGATGCAGAATTTAAACTCAGTTTTCTTCCAATTCCAAATCTACTTTGCCGTCTAGTAAATAATCAGTAGAATGATGTGGTGAGTGATCCTACAAGACTCCTCTCTCTATTCCACTAAAAACACCACCTTAGGAAAATAATTCTGTTTTTAAAATTATTGCCATGACTTGAAATCTCCTCTATCTCTCTACAAATTAATATCTTTTTTTTTTTGGCAGAAAGATTTCGAGATTTGCTGCTCCCTCCATCTGGACAAGATTCAGAGATTCTGCCCTTCATCCAGCCAAGTAACTATCCCAAGTAAGTAACACAACTCTCTAGGGACTAGCCTGGGGCGGGGGGGTGTCTGAAGCAACCTTCCTAAGAAAATAGGGAAGGTATTTTACTTTTGCTTAAGATGTCTGAAAAAGGAAGCACAAACCTTATAACCCCATAAATACTTTTAGGATAAACCCTTCAGGCAGAGTTTTCAGATGAACTCCATAAAATAGGTTTTGAGCTCTTCACAACCATGTCAAAAGGAAAGAAGGTGAACTTGTGAGTGGACCCTGTTTGTCACTAGGGAGTTGTTGGGAGAGTACAAACGCTAAGCTGTCTGGATCAGTGTCTCCTGGAGTCTCATTTTCTTTGACACGTTGGGTTGACGCAGGCAGATATTTTGTCAGGCTAATCCCCGCTCTTGTCTTGTGGGTTTCTCTCCTTCATGCTGATGGATTCATTTGGATTTTAACAAGCTGCCCCTGGAAACAAGCATATGCTAAAATGAATTTAATGGCCTGATTAGAGATTCAGGAGTGGACAATCAGAAGTAACTTAGACGAATAGGTTCTAGTGAACTATTTAAAGTGCATTATAATAAGAGAGGGGGAAGAGAAATCTATCTTTACTCCCCACCTTCAGTTTAGTGTTTTATTTTTACAACAAATTCCTTAAAATCATAAAAGGGTCATAGCAGACTGTTTGACTATGTATGTACCAGCTTACATATTTCTGACTTGGTTTCCTCATATGTAAAAGAAGAGGGGTGATACTTGCCCTGTTTACCTTGAAGGGATGTTTTGAGGCTCAAATGACATAGTTTATTTAAAGCATTAAATTCCATATAAATATTTAATGTTTTAGTGCTTGGCAATAGGGGATTAAGAAATATTTGCTTATTGATTTATTGTTATCAACCATGAAATGGGGAATAACCATGATGGAATTGATAAATTATAACAGTGTCTATCTCTTCCTCTATCTCTTCCTCTGCCTTGCTCTCTGTCTTTCTTTTTCCTGGTCAAGGTAATTTTGGGTACCTTTTAATTTTCTACTTTAATTATTAGTATATGAAGGTATTCACTGGTTTTATTTCCTTGGAGTAAAAATCAATATTTTGAATATTTAAATATGCTTTACTTGCCTCCTTTCCAAAGGATACACAATTAACCTTCATAATATTAATGTAACCACAACCATAATTTGTGAATTTACTATTCTTCCCTGTAGAAGATCATGCTACTTTTGACTTTTAGCCGTGACTATAATGCCACATTCTTTCTCCCCTTCAATACCACCTACACACAGACAGAATCATAGATATAATGCTGAAGGAGACATCAGGAATCATCTTGTCCAACTGCCTCATTTTATAGATGAGGAAACTTAGTCCCAGAGAGCTCATGACTTGCCCAAGGTCACATAGGCAGTACTTGTCAGAGGAAGGATTTAGACTCAGGTCCTCAGACTTCAGAGTCAGTACTCTTTCCACTATACCCTGCTCCCTATCTCTGGTCCCTCATATTTATTCACCTACTATTCATCTACTGCATTCTAAACCTATCCACCACAAACTAAGTCCTTACTATGGACATAGGACCTCTTTAGATGCTGAGGGCTATGCAAAATAAATGGGAGATACTCTGTGCTCTTGTGGGACTGAGGTATACTACATGAATAATAAATATGTAGATAACATGATGCAGATGGATCATTGTGCCTTTGCCTGTAAAAAGGGATAAGTAGCCATCATCTGTTTCTGTACTGTCTTAGTGGCTACAAGTATCTGTTTTGCAGAAGCAAGTGTTGTCCAGATCTCTTTATCAGAGATTAAGGCAGTTTTGACACCTTTGTTCCAAGAGGGCCACTCCTCAGATTGTTTCACAGCAGGTGATTGTTCTGTTGTGGTTATTGTCCAGGACTCGTTATCCTTGTGGCACAGTAGACCTCCTTTATATTTAAAAATGATTTTTTTCCCAGTAATGATGTAGCCTCTCTCTCTGTAAACTAGTAAACTTGTAAAGACTGGTCATTTCCAAACACAAGAAGTTAAGTATAGTATATTTTAAGTCTGTGATTACAACAGAACTTTTTTTCCTCTTTAATCTAATGAGAGGATAATGAAGAAACCCATGATGATAATTTGGAGGATTGGGGATATGTAGCCTAGAGAAAAGAAGACATTCAAAATGGATGATTTAAAATGGTTAGATGAGGACCTCTTACCACAGGAGGAGCAGAGTTGGAGTAACTGACAAATTCCTATGATGGTAGCCCCTGACTTTAAAAGAATTCCACAAGCCCCTGTATTTTGCCTTATCTGACCTAATCATAATGGTTGCTTTCCAAAGTACCTGGGTCATGCTTATCCTAATTTGGGAGTTCTTCACCATTTTGTGTCATCTACCCCTGTGGTAGTCTAATGAAACTTATGGAGCCCAGTTTAAGAACCTTTGGGTTAGATTAAAAAAGTTGTAATGGACTCCAGGTACCTTTGTTTGCCTCATTATAAAATCACATAGTTCCTAATAGCCACAGGCCATCTGAAGATAGATCTATATCTGGGTACAGTCAACTTCCTGCAGGCAGTTATGGGCATAGTTTTATGTCCTTGAACCAGACAAAGATAAGGAGTGAGGTTGAACACACATATCAAATTACACCATTGCTGTCTGAATATTTTCCCTGAATAAGAATCTTTAAATGAGAAGAACTGCAGGTAAGCTTCTAGTGCAGCTGGAAAGATGGTGCATTCTAGCATTCAGAGAAAATGAATTGAAATAAACATGGCAAGATCTGTCCCCCACATGTAGATTGGGGGTGTCATTATGTGACTTCAAGGGAGTCAAAATAAACATCTCTAGCTTATTCTCCCTGAGCCCTTCTCCAAGGGAGTCTTTAATTCCTTCTAGGAAGGGAATCAGGAGGTTGTGGCCAGAAACTTGTTCATTTTGCTCTCTTAAAAGAGAGGGGGTACCAGGCTGCTCTCTTAACTATTGTTAGGGGGATGTGATTTTCAGATTCAAGCTAATTGCTGTCTCTTAATGGGGGGAGTAGTATCCAAACTTTATGTCCCAGGCTTGACTTTCTTCCCACTAAATACCTGTTCCCAAATAAACACACATGCTAAGTGGCAAAGAAACCCATTTATCTAAATCATAGCAAAAAAGAAATCAGAGAAAGTATACCTAGGAGAATGTATACCATACAATATAAAGTGAAGGTGCTCTCCCATTAGGAGCAAAGTAACTTAGGTCAACCAACAGAGAGTGGCAGAACTTACTCATGGGGAAATTCCCTGAAGTCTGTAGCATAGCAAGTTGATAATGGGGACATAATAGAGACTGCTAGCTCCTTCAAATCAGCTTCTTTCCAGAATCTTTTCCTTCAGCCATATGAAGTGGGGTTAGCATTTTCCATCTCTTCTCTCTTGAAACTGGAAGCCAGAAGCACCCCAAACAACTGCAGAACCCAAAGAGACTCAAGAAACCTGAAGAGACTCAAAGAACCTTTCCTGCTCTCTCCCACTCTGTCCCACCTCTGACACAGGTGTAGGGCATCTGATCTCCATCAATAAGGAGAGAATCCTATGCCAATGATCTCTGGGGCTCAGATTATTTACCTCCCCCTCCTCCTCTCCTTTTGTGACAGTCATAGAATCACAGCTAGATATTTAGCATTTACATGACACTTTAAGATTTGTAACATGCTCTACAAATATCTCAGTTTATCCTTACAACAACCCTGAGTAGCAGGTGTTATCGCTATCCCATTTTATAGATGAGGAAATTGAGGCAGATAGCAGTGAAATGATTTGCACAGGGTCAAATAGCTAGTAAGTTTCTGAGGCTAGATTTGAACTCAGGTCTTGCTACTTCTAGTTTTAGTGTTCTATCCCCTGCACCACCTAGTTAAAAGTGATCCTTAAAGAACATCTACATAATTCTTTCATTTTACAGCTAAGAAAGAGGTCCAGGGAGGTTAAATATGTTTATCATCACAAACATAGTAAATAGTTGGAACAAAACTTGGACCAATCAAATTTTCTTAACTGAAAAATATACCGAACTGATCATGATTATTGAAAAAAAAATGCTATCTGAAGAATCAAAATCCTAATCATTCACCTGGCCAATAGCAATAACAGTGTTCTATAAGATAATTTTAAATCTACAGCTGGATGGCACAATGGATAGAATGTTGACTTGAAGACAGAATGACCTGAGCACAAATTCTGCCTCAGAAATGTACTAACTGCGTGACCCTAGGCACTTAACCTGTCTACCTCAGCTTTCTCATCTGTAAAATGGGGTTAATAATAAGCAACTATCTCCCAGGATTTTTGTGAAGATAAGATGTTGGAAGAGCTTTGCAAACCTTAAATTCAACTGAATTTGAGATGAAACTGGGAAATAAGAAATACAGGAAATGGGGTACAGAAATCTATCCTGCCCTACAGGAAAATAGAAGGGGAAGGGGATAAGAGAAGGGGGGGAGAGACAGAAGGGGAGGCAAACTAGGGGAAGGGATATTCAGAATGCATGCCATCTTGGGGTGGAGGGAGGGGCAAGATGGGGTGAAAATTTGGAACTCAAAATCTTGTGGAAGTAAATGTTGAAAACTAAAAATAAATACATTTATTAATAAAAATTAAAAAAATAAAAGATGGAGGACCTGATTAAAAAAAAACTCTTATTGGACAGAAATTTCACCTTCAAAAATGAATTGCTTGCTGGGAACAAGGGGCTGGGAATGATGGGATTTGTTTTGGGGGAAGGTTGTAGAATTCACTGTTTCATCTTAGAGTTTCTGATAGAAGTGAAGAAAATCAAGCATACTATCCTGATAAACACACCCAAAATTTAGAGAACAGATATCAAGTCCAGAGAAAGGCTAGGTAAAATCCAAGACTAAAATTCTGTAGAGAAAGAAAACTCTGAACATGCAGAGAGAAATAATTTTGATGAGGACAGAAAAGGGTCTAAAAAAAGTCCAAAAGGGATTAACATGGAAGTGATTGTAAAAAGTCATGTATAGGGGCA